TCTTCTTCGGAACTGCTGCCTGGAACTCGTATATTCTCCTCTATTGGCAATTGTAGCCTGTTGGCTTGTTTCTAGTGGGGAAAACCGAATACAGAGTTCATTTTATATAGGTTTCTCCTATCATGTTCTCGAGCAATTTGAAGTCCAATTACTGAGTGACACAGGCGCCTTCTATGCCGAGGCACATAATCCCCAAGCCACTGCAGTTATGGTCTTCAGAAATAACGACGGACCAATCCTCCGGTATATAGTAACTTCCCCTGGTTAAGAGTTAAAAGTAACCGGCCCTAGTATACATAAATTTGCCCTTTTCGTGTGTATTTTTATGTATTCGCATAGTTGTTTAGGTAATCTTCAACTTAGACTTTCGTCTACCATGCCAAGCGCTTCATCTCGAGTGTTCGCAAGCAATATAATTAAATATGCCCCGGTGTACCTACCATTTCGAATATGCGCAAAGAACCTTCTAGTGACCGTAATCAGCATATACTACTGATCAGAAGTCACAAGAGCACATGTTTTAGATCCTGCAAACGATATCATCTTATCAATGACGACCTCCTGTCTAACGGTTGATTGAGCTTTATTACTAAGAGTTATATAAGCTTACTTTGACTCCAAGGCTTGCAACATAAGCGGGACTCGCAATCAGTCAAAACGATATATTACCGACCAAAGTTAAAACCAACTTAAACCTCGGTCAACAATCGTACAACATGCTGCATCTACCAGCTATCAGACATGGTTTCCTGGCTGACAACAGCCTCGTCTACCGTCCTCTTCTCAGTTGCAGGGCGCCTATATTTTTTTCTCATCTCCATCCCCTGGCCACCGTAAGCAAACCTTGGCATCGTACAAATCTTTCTAATTTATCGGTTTCGCTACTCCAATACGCCGCTATAATTGCCAAAAACTCGCTTGATGTACTTCCACCGGTTGATCGTACCGTGTCAGTTAATTACTTTTTTTCTTCTCACTCCTGCGTTACAGATTATGTGGGCTTCATCAAACGCATGCTGAAACAACTCCAAAGTGACCACTATCCCAGCCTTCGCCGTGTCGACCTGGACATTATACCCCTGGAGCCAAGTTCCCAGGAGGCCTTTGTTCCCGGTAAGTCGCTTTTGCCCTTTTTCCTGTGCTCGTTTTTCACAGTCCTCCTGGTTACTGTTTCTAGTTTTTCTGCTTCGAGTCTTGTTATTTCACATGTTCCTGCCCACACACCAGCCCACACTCTATGCGTCACTTAAGAGCGCGACGCTGAGTCAGCTACTTTTCGCATCTTTTCGGTGCGTAAGTTCTGATGCACACAGCAGTAAATAAAGGGTCAAAACGAATTTCCCCCAAAATTTATAACGTCAGAATAATCCTTTTCGCTTGAAGGCTGTTTCTCCTTAAAAAATACAGGCTGTCTTATAAACTAATTATTTGCGGACCTTGTCTAACCCAGGCAAAGGTAGTTTAAGTAGTGCGCCTCATATACCCCTAGTCCCAGCATTTAGTCCTACGAAAACGGTGGTTATAGGGGTTTTATGGGTGGGAAATTAGGATAGGCAGTGGAATATACCTCAGTAACTGCTATATGCATTTTTTATTTGATTGTGTTTAGAGATGTTTTTGGTTTATATTTGTAGATTTTCCTAATCTGTTCAGCGTATTGTGGAAAAAGTCGATTATCGAAATGCAGGTCTCCGGAAATTCTTGAAAAATGGAAATGGTGGTTAAGAGGTCGTTTACTTCAACTTACCTGGGGTCCAGCTTACCGTTCTAGAGTTAGATTAGTGTTCATCATCTCCCAAAGGTTAGGAGGAAGAAGAGGTAAACGGCAAGCCGGACTAACTCAAGACCACCACAATCAACTGCCAGTAAACTCTGACGATGGAAGCGAGGTGGTTTTCGAAACATCAGTTCAAATATAATTTGGTCCATGAACCCGCCTTTCTTCTTCTTCTTCCTTACCTTTGGGAGATGCTGAACGCGATAACATATCTGGACCCCGAATCTTTCGGCATTTAAGTTAGATTAGTATAGTCCGCGTCGCGAAGCGCCGCGCACACCCTCAATTTACATGTGGAACAACTTACTCGCAGCGACTACGGTAAACAGATTCAACTGCATTTTCCCACTTTCCCCTTACTTCTAAAAACTTCCTTCACGGCCTGTCCTATTCCCCCACTCCCAAAAACCCATGTAGCCACTGTTTCCATAGGGCAAAATTCTAGGACTAGGGGTAAATGAGATGCACTACTTAAACTACCTTTGCCCCTACTCACGTCACTGATTGGTAGGTTTTCTTGAAGACGCTTACCACCTCATCGAAAACCCCGTGTCGAGGTCTCATTCTTCTGGTCTTCAGTGTATTTTCGCAAGGGAAATTGTTTGGTAAACTTTTTTCCTCCTCACCTAATCGCT